CAGGAGGCCAAACCCGCAAATACCGGACGCTATATAATATTGCCCGGGCAAGAGAGCCTCGCCTAACAGCTTTTATTCGCGAGCGACGCCAGAACTCAATTATTACAGCGTTGTCCACCGCGAATAATGCTATTAATAATTTACGTTACGTATTATAAATATCTACCATCGCTCGTTTAAAACCCGGGACTTTTTTCAATCTTGCACGCATAAATTTGAGCGAATCGCTTAGCGTCGTGAAATCAATTTTCATCCTTCTGTCAATGGAAGGGTACTCAAAGCAACTTTAAATGTTAAAATTTCTTATTTCAAAACCTCTTAAAATATAACGGCAAAGTGTATTCGATGCTCTCAGCTGCTGAGGAAATTGTCATCAGTAATGTGTTTTAACACATTACTGATGACAATTTCCTCAGCAGCTGAGAGCATCGAATACACATGCAGTTGATATCCGGGTACCTATGCATTGATAACAAGGTAAAAGTTATTAATTATTATTAGCAGAAGACTAATAATAATTATTCGATCAAGAAGACCCTTTCTGAGGAATGGGAAATTGAGGAAGATGCGGGCTACTAGATAAGATAAAATTCACGCACGATTAGCAACAGTTGCAGCTGCCAAAGTATAGCATAGAAGCGGGTTCGTGGAATTAAACATAATGGGACTCTGTCGTCACGTCAAACCGACAATGCAACGGTTTTACATTCTTTCGAGAAATGTACGCGCGACTTATAGAGGCGAATCACTATCGCGATGTCAGACGCGTCGTTAATAAAGAATAATACGATAATGAAGACGACGCACACCTGTGATCCACAGAATACAATGGCCGCCCGTGATGTTTGGGAGTCTCGAATCGAGCCCGTTAATACGGGCTTGTAAGCAATAGAAGACAAAAAAGAGAATAGAAAAAAAATATAAAAATTCGATTACTTTACTATTTTCTTTATCTTAGTTTCCCTAATCCTTAGTTAGTCACGCGGGATGCAGATGGTCCCAGCACATTTTAAATTTCATGTACTTTTAATATGCAAACCTTCATAAATGCATTCACTTATCTTCTGTTGTGAGTGATAGTTTGATGTTTTGTCTGTTTTTGTTCTCAATTATTTAAAGAAAAATAAAGACATATTTATACGTAATTAATTAAAATTAAGTAATTGTTTTCGACACAGGTAAGTTTATTAAATCCAAATTTTTTTTCTATTCTTCAGAATATGGATTTTTGGCCTCTACTGACCATATTTTTGCCTTATTAAATATTGCAAACATAAATGCCTTTGTAATTATAAATATAAAACAACAAAAAGATAAAATATTACAAAGAACATTTTTCAAAAAGATTCCTCTAAAATTAGCGAGGAAACAACTTTTAGAAAAACAATTCAATGTATCCCTAAATCGCTAAAAAGACTTTGGAAAATGTTACTGAATATTATTGAATATGTAAAACCAGGACTATCGAATAAAAAGGTCAAGAAGCAAATAAGAATGCTATTACCTAAGCAGAGATGATCAAAAAATAGAGAAACATGCAATTTGTGTAATAAAAATGTATGTCCTATTTACGTAGTATTATTATATAGCAAATGTTATAATTGTGATCAATAAATATATTTGTTAATTATTTTAATATAAATTATTCTTTATATAAATGGAAATTATTATGTTAAATTCGCATTAAATGTTTTCTCGTGTTATTTTTCAAATATTTAAAAACCTTTATCTTTATATCAAAGTACAGACTGAACTAATTTACACTTCACGCGACTAAGAAATGGCTAAAGAAAATAAAGATTCAAAAGAGTCGAATTATATGTCCTATAAATGCTACAAGTTCGCGTTGAAACTTTCTCCTTGAGATATCAAACATTTCATTGATTTAAATAACGATAAAATTAATGAAGTCGCCAGTGATGAGTAAAACCATACAAATTTATTAAAATTTCGACTTAACTGACCAGTACAATTTAATTAGAAACACTACGTTTCGACCCTTAGGTACGGGTCCTTTTCAAGTGTAACTTTCAAGATGTTGATTCGACAGCAGTAAAATTACTAAGGATGATTTCATTGATTTGTTCGCAATAAGATTCTCGCGAGCGATATGTCTAATTAGTCGAATATCGCGAATAATCATCCGATTTATTTATTCCGACCCGAAGGCTCCATCGCGCACAGAGGGATGGAGATACGCCGGGGGTAACGTTCATTAGCTCCGGTGTTGATTTAATTACCGGGAGAGTAATTGGCATGCCTACTGACGATCCCGTTCCCTCTCGACTATCTCCCCCCTGCTCTTCTCCCCCCCGGCACCCCATGTCGCTTATTTCACCCGCTGGCTCTCCTCTGCTCCAGCACCCTATCGAGTCACACCCTCACTCCGGCCCAAACTCTGTTGCATATTCATCGATGATAGATTATGTCTACGTGTATACGAAGGCGCGCGTAGGAACAATCGGTCTTGCAATATCTATTCGATACACGATAGATCCACGGGGTTAGAATTTAAAATTATTTATTTATTTATTAATACTTGACGAATATTCAACTTTATACTACTCTCACCCCGAGACGAAAAATTACCGACGCTCGAGTTTGTTCCTTTTTTTTTCGAGTATCGTAAATTGGTTCATTCGCCTGGTTTATCGCGCGTGTTTCGCGGAGGAGATATGGCGCAAATGAAAAAAAAAAAAAAAAAAAAAAAAGCCAGAAAAACAAACAACCGACAGAGAGCGGTTCGTTGCCAATTTCCGCGAGTCCGAGACACGTCGCAAAAAGGACCGCGGCGGACGATTTTGGGTTCGGTATACGGCCGTATATAGGCGAGCGTATATCGCGGCGATGTTATCCGCAAACACGCGGGTTCGGCCAATTTATCCCAAGGGATGAGGCCGACGTGGCCCGGCCCGGTGGTGGGTGTGGGGCAGCCTTGTCCGGCGGAATGAATTCAGCACGCACAGCCCCTGTGCGGTCGAGCCGGCTCTCCTACCCCTTTCGCCGACCATCTCCAACCACCGTGCAACGTCCCCACCTTTTGATCACGATTCACCCTCGCGTTCATCCCCTTCCTCTTTCTCGTTCGGCGCTCGCGCGCGTTAAGGTTGCCTCAGATGGGAAAAACGCGCGACAAGAGAAGAGAGAATACATTCGAATACAGAATTTTATTGAAATAAGCCATTAAAATTGTGCAACAGTTTTTTATTAATTAATTTTAAAATTCATTAATTGATAAAATCGGTACACAATTTCCTACGTATAATTAATTAATGATACATGAATAAAAATTGTTACGTATTTCAATTAAATAATAAAATTTAATAATTAAATTAAAATTGTCACACAATTTTCTGTACGTGTATAATTAATTATATATTAATACATTTTTTTATTAATTATCTTGTAATCCTCCATTACGATTAACTTACACTTTTCGTATATTCGCGGTTAATTACCGCAATGCAGAATAATACGAAATACTGAATACTTTTGTGTCCTAAGTTGAACGATATCGGAAGGGTAGGTTTTTCTTGACAAACGGGGATTTATAATTGATACAAGTGGTGTGAATGGCCCTTTAACCCATCCGCTACCATCCGCCACTCCTGATTCGCTCCACATATCGCTAGCGCGGCTATACAACGGCCGCCTGATTGCCACGGGGGCTCTTAGATTTATTGACCTGTCAATGGCGGCGCGCGAAAACGGCGAATTTACAACGCCGCAGGTGTTAAGTTCTGCCGTGCGTATAATAACGGCCTGATCTCCCCAGGCCTTACGGTAAGCCACCGCACACCGTAATTATATATTTCCGAACCTTCCGCCCGCTACCTTTGTCATTATCACCCGAGGTGGCGTAGCCGTAATTCAATGAGATCCATTGCGCGTGTATACGTGAGCGATAAAGGGGTTGATGAACGTCGCGCGAATTTTAGGAAATTTTAAGCATGCGATGCATGCTACGAATCATACACGTCATCCCTTATTTCTACATGAGATCGCCGCATTTTCTCTCTTGTGAAAGCTAAAATTACAGCTAGCGATGGGATGAAGTACCTATCTTACAAGGAATTTGCTCGCATGGTTTCCAACTCTCTACCTAATGATATCAAAGAATACTTCTAAATATGTTCTATCCCGAATCAAGTATTTCTGAATTTTTTATGACTATTTATAAAACATGAGTATATATAACTCTAAAAAGTAAACTTGGATTCGGATTTTTAAATATTTTATATTGAACTTGATCCTTGTATTTAAATGGGTGCGAAAAATTTGGAAAAGGGGATGATTCTTTGTCTATATATATATATATATATATATATATAAAAGGGGTTTCTTATAAACATATACTCTCTTATATCCCTCCTTAAGAAGTTACATTTTTCTAAACAGGAAGGTAAAAATTAAATTTTTTTTTCTTAAAAACTATGATTCTACAAAAAAATAAAAGACAAAAAATTTCTAAAAGAATCTTACTTTTTAACGCATATTTTTAGATGATCATATTCTGGTCCATTAAAAAGTTCTAATAAAAAATTAAATAGGGGTTGTTAGTGTTATCCCCTTATAGCGATACAGGAAAATAAAAAAATATTAATAAACATCCTTTTTATTAGTAAAAAATATCCACCAAATTTCATTTTTGTAATTTGTCTATAATGTTCGTGAAAAAAAGTAAACTCTTGTAAAAAAATAAAAGTGTAACTCAGGGAGGGATAAAGAGTTTATGTTTATATAAGAAACTCCCCTCAATTTTCGACAAAGAATCATCTCCTAAAATTTTTCGTACTTATTTAGATACACTCTGTATATATATATTTGAACATTGCAATTAAAAGCGAAGCGATGCGAGTTTTCGGTATTCCAATTGGAAAACATTGCGCGTTATCGTCTTATTAGAAGTTCCAGAGCAGCTCTCTCGGACCACGACGAGAGTCGTTCGCGAAATGATTTACGACCGGAGCAGAGCGAAATGATAGAGTAGACTTTCTTACCTTGAGCCTGGTGAGACGAGGTTCCTCGGTCGCGAGTTTCGCCAACGCCTGGTAGTCTCCCTGGGCCGCCCTGACCAACCACTCCCGCGATTTTCCGTCCAGTTGCTTTGAGGAAACATGGGATCGCGATTATTAGGGCGATCAATGATGGCGCGAGAGGCATCGATCAGCAAAAATCGCGAGAGGGGCCCATCCGATCGAGAGAGCGGGAACGAATTTTAATTAAGATCCCCGGCCACGATCGCATGGCGTGCATTCATCAAGGTGCACGTCTCCGATCGCGGAGAGAGAATTATATACGTACATAGCTCCTTCTCTCTCTCTCTCTCTCGTCGGATTGGCGCGAGCAATAATCGCGATCTGCGGTGGGTGATGAACTTACCGAGGCAACGGAAGCGCTGTCATCCTCGTCGGCGCCCTGCGGAGAAAAAGAGAAGAAGGGGTTAGAGCTGATCCGTCGAAAAATCAACATTACGCGCTACGTCACGCGGTCACGATCGCGCGCGACGCAAAACCGGTCCGCTGTATATGGCGTTGGCGTTGCTTGCACTCCGGAGAGGTTGCATACCGATGTGTGCGAGAGAGGATGAGACAGAGAGACAGAGAGAGAGAGAGAAAGGGGGAAGAAAATGCGTGAGCGCAGCGGGAGGCCACCGCGCGCGCTTCGCCCATCAGATTGATATACGGATCCAATAATTGATTCTCCGGTGCAAGACCTTGGGAGGATCTCTGGCTGGCTGGCTGGCTGGCTGGCCGCACGCACTTACGCAACTCTCGACAACGGACGTCCCATTTCGGAAACGTCGTTCTTCTCCTTCTCCCTTCCTCTCTCGGCAAATCGAATAATTTTCTATCACGATTATCAAAGTGATGGATGTAAGAAAAAGACTTCATGGTATTTTTGATAAAATGCTTGTCCCTTACAAAAGGTGGCGCCCTTCAGAAACTTCTTGCGCGCCGGATAATTGCGTAATTACTTTTATGCACAACCGAATCCTCGATAATGTCTTAAAAGAGAATAATTTTTTCATCAATGTACTCTCTAAATTTTTTGGAGTGGAATCTTACTCCAAAAGAGTAGAAGCTCATTCAGAAGGAGTGAAATCTCATTCCAAAAGAGTAAGATCCCACTCCAAGAAAAAAGAGTATGAGTTGGTACTTTGGTACCCTTTAGAAACTTCTCGCGCGTCAGATAATTGTGTAACTTTTGTGCACAATCAAATTCTCGAAAATCTCTTAAAAGAGAATGAATTTTTATCAATATATTGTCTTTTCTTGGAGTGGAATCTTACTCGAAAAGAGTAGAAACTCATTCAAAAAGAGTGCAGGAATCTCATTTCAAAAGAGTGAGATCTCACTCCAAGAAAAAAGAGTATGGGTGTTGGTACTTTAGTACCCTTTAGAAACTTCTCTCACGCCAGATAATCGTGTAACTTTTATGCACAATCGAATTCTCAAAAATGTCTTGAAAGAGAATGATTTTTCATCAATATAGTCTCTAAATTTCTTGAAGTGGAATCTTAAAGAGTAGAAGCTCATTCCAAAAGAGTGAGATCCCACTCTAAAAAATTTAGAGAATATAGATTGGTACTTTGATGCTCAGGCACTGTCGTGTATTTTTGACCATAATAATTTTTTATAGCAGCTGCTCTGAGTATCAAACATTTTTTCTGATTACATATTTGGAGGTTTCCGAATGTACCAGTTGTGAATGGAGAAAGAACACATTTCTAACATTGTTCAAGTTGCTTCGGATATTCAGGTGCCTGTTCATCGACGAAAGGGTTAATTGTACTGATTGTGAGGATACGCCGATCTCCGGCAATGTTTTACATTATACTTATATCTACGTGGTACCACGATGGAGGATGACGTCGACGACGGAGGTGGATGAGCGGAAAGGGTTCTCCTCTCGATCCCAGGAACGCTAAACGACTACTCATCCCTGTTAAACTGTTTGTATTTTCACTCGTCACGGCCACGTCAGGTCGTCCGAGGTGCTCATATCGACACTCGGCCCCGAATCGATCGTGACTCTTCATAAATTACTGAAGAAGAGAGAGCGCGCTTATTCGGCCGAGTCATCATTAGCCCCGAGCCGCGATATATCTCTATCCATCGACAAGATCGCGCGTGTCCTTAAGTGAAATCACGTTTTCGAAGGACGCCCTCCCCTAATAAGTTCGACGTTAATCCAATTTCCCCTTCTTTCTCCTCCGTGTCAGAAGAAGGGGAAAAATCGACGATTTTGGACCTCCCTTCCGGAAATTCTCTTCTCGAAAATGATAGTCACTGACCCCTCTGTCCCACCCTCCCGTCGCGTCAGGTGGTGTATCGAGGTGCGTTCCCAGCTTTCGTGCTCGCGCAAACACGCCTGTACGCGTGCGAATGCACAGATGCACGGCGATAGGATGGACTTTGTTATACGCGTGCATCGGAGAGGCCATGCTTCATCAGCGATGCGATAATTGTACTCGCGACAAAACGACATTCTGTGCTGCCTGGCGAAAACGGAGAATTATTATTAATATTTAATTTCAACCCCTCTCTTATATCTGTCTCATTTAATCCATGTGTAATCGAGTGAAAAAACGCATCCGATTTTTCCTTCTCTCGCATAAAATATAAGAGTACCTAAAAAAATATATAAAGTATGTAGAAGAATATGTAAAAAGAGAGAAAACCGATTCCTCAAAAATTCCTCCCTGCATATATGTTTCGAGCTTAATATGCAAATTGTCGCGAAATTATGCAAGCAACGAGAATCCCCGAGCGGATTCGTCGACATATCATCCAGAGAAAGAGTCCCAAAGAGATTGCGAGAAGAAGGACTCTGATACCTTCAATTTCGATGATCGAGAAAAACAACATGGATATATATTCGCGATCGTATAATATTCTGTCGTTCTGTGCGCGAGTCGCTGATTGATTTTTAAGCGATCGCGAGATAAGATGATCTTCGATGAGACGCAGGGACACCGGCTCGTCCTATCTCAGCCCGTATCCAAGAGATATGCAAATGCTCTCATCCTCCCGTCGCGCGTGAGAGGCCTCCACGAACAACGATCAGACAAACGGGCCAGTCAGCGACGGCGCGCATGGACCATAATGGCGCGGTTATCAGATAAGCTTATAAGACCTGGGTAATCGTAATAGCATCGCGATGGCGATTTCTCTCCGTGAACGGAGGAAGGAGCAGCAGCTCGCCTCCTTTCCTGCCCCTTTCGACGAGTCATTGTTTTGCCGTAATTAATATTTTAATTGAGATCAGCAGGAATTAATTGACGCAACTGGCCTGCCGAAGTCCCTTCCTCCGCCTTAACCGATCAATCGCGATCTGGTCAGAATCGCGAGATAGGAGATCCTAAACGCACCTTTTGCGCGCTCTTTTCTTTTTACTGCTTGAATAGAATAATAAATGCTTTTCCACGATTAAAGCGCACACAGGAACAAAGCGCGAACCTACTGATTTTTATTTTTTTTTGTTTTAACATAAAATCGGAAACTTCGCGTTTTGTTTCTACAGGGTCTGACATAAAGTGTCACACCGAAAATATACAAGTAGATCTTGTTATTTAGAGACAATTTTTCCTCGGCAAAAATATCGAAGAAGGCCATTATTTTTTGCATGTTCCCAATTTTTGCCATCATGTATCTTTATAACTAAACCTTAAATTAAAATTTTATTAAAAAGTAAACTCTACTTGAAATTAATTGAAAAATATGGTTTTGTTAATATTTATTTCCACAAGGCTTATTAGTTTGCGAAAAACTCTTTATTTTCAATCGCTTATAATTCGAAAATTATTGATGCCTCAATATTTCTTTAATCGCGAAAAAGCATTTATTATTCCATTCAACCAATAAAAAGAAAAGGGTGCGCAAAAATGATGTTTCATGTCAGTCATATTTCTTGACCATTTCATCAATGTATTGATACTCAATTATCCCTTCATTCAAAGGACTTAATTTTTCGCTCTCTCATTCGTCTCCCAAATATCTTCATCATACATAAAGAAGGGGGTTTGAGAAGGGACAAAAAACTAATTTGCTCGTTAAGGGGATGCTGACCATGTCTGTTTTATCGACTTTGAATTCAAGGGCTTTTCTTTTTTTATTGACTATACAGTTTGAAAAATCCTTCTCTACAATTAAAGTACTGATCATAATAAACGGGGAGCGCTGTAATTTTCGTATAAAAAACAATAAAAGTTAAAAAATTACAGTTTTTTATCGGCCTCTTGCATCAGCTCGTAACAATACTTATTTAATACAAAAGTTCTGCAATTTATTTGTGCACAAAATATGGTACTCCTGATAGAGATGACATGGAAGAATAATACAAAAGTAATAAAAATGAGATTAAAAGCCTGTATCGAAAGATTCGTACTCGATATATATATATATATATATATATATATATATATATATATATATATATATATACATTTGCGTACGGAATCGATGCCGAGGCATAAAACAGCAAAAATTAGTTGCCGGACAGCGCTCCCCATTTATTATTACCATTACTTTCATCGTGAAGAATTGTTCAATCTGTATATTCAATAAAAAATGAATCTAACCTAACTTAAAGTCGGTAAAACAGAACTACGGTAGCGTCCCCTCAATCGAAAAAAAGAACCTCCAGATATCCGGGAGTGGATGTTCCATCCCCTCCGTAATAGTGATACGTACACGCATGGATAGATGCATGGACGCGTTCGCGTACATCACGTTCATCGTAATCGGATAAAAAAGCTAACGGATACGCGACGCATACAAGCCGCGTAATCACTTAGGACGTGATCCTAGCACGAGAGAGCGAGCAAGCCGAGAGTATCATAGAAATGGATACAAAGGGGGCCATCAAGCAAGCCACGGTAACGAGCTATCCATCCTCTTTCTCTCTCTATCTCCCTTATATCCGTACCTCCCATTGTTATCGCTCTTCGTGGCGCATCAGCGCAGACTAAAAAACACGCTCGCCCAGCAGTTAAGCCGCGCACTATTCGCGCGTCTAATTCCGCCGAATGTGGCCAGCGGCAGGTACTCAAGTACTCAAAGTACAGGGCGTGCACGTGCTACCTCTCGGTCCCCCCGTCTCTCGAACAATAAAAGGAATAACGCGGAATGTAAAGCGGATAGAGAGAGAGAGAGAGAGAGCGAACTCGCGCGCGCTTCTCTTCGGGGTGGAAACGTTTTAATAAGCGGACGTGCGCCGCTGCCCTTTCCGAGGGGGCGTATAAATATATTCGGTTGCTCTCTAACGGCGCGTGAAAGAGAGAAAGAGAGAAATATGTATATAGAGAGAGAGAGACTACGGAGTGCACACCGGGAACGGATATATCGGCGAGACGGTGAAGGGGGCAGGGGGGCAGACCTGGTAGAACGAGAGGCAAAACATGTTGCGGCACGAGC